CACTTCCTGAGCACTAATGGGGGTAGGGTTCACACCGAGGTCTGGAAAATCCCCGAATTACTACACCTTCCCCCAAAAGAGAGAAAAATAAAAAGGGACAATGACAAACTTCTGTTTGTGTTCATTTTTCCCAGGAGGATGACTCATACTCTTCATTCAGTTCTCAGAGGGCCCCGACCCAGAACAAGGTCCGGGCGCAGCCGGGCCGCATGGTAGGAGGGTGCTGCACATCCGTGGGCCTCCCTCCCGAAGCCCACACTGGGGGTCCCCAGCAGCCAGGCTGAACCCCAGCGGAGCCAGTCAGGCCCGTCCACCCGAGGGGCATCAGCGCCAGCCTACACACGCACGGCTGCCTTAGGATGGGCCCCTGCACCTCCCACTGCGGTGTGGCACTTCCCACAGCTACTGTCTCCGTGGGACCCCGGCACTCGAACCTGGCTCACCCACGTTTGGTACCAGACGGCCGTGGCCCCGCTCCTGCAGTGTCTAACGGGTGCCCCGGCTAACACCGGCCACAGCTGCAGTCCTCCGCGTGCTCCTGCTCACTCTCCCAAGCTGCTGGCTGGACATCGGATCACACAGCTGCCCTGGTTTTAAGGCACTGGTTGGAAGTCGCAGGTGCCGGTCACAGCCGACTCTCCTCACGACCAGCCTTTGCTTGTTCAGCAGGACACACGGCGCTCACTCTGTGCTCACAGCCTGCCGACCCCACCGCTGCATCGTCGGATCTGGGACCTGAAGTCCAGCCATCTCTCCCCAAGCACCCACACCCGCTGGGAACAGGCTTCTCCCAGCACTTTTTAAGGCCAGTGAGCCAACCTTCTGGTCAAGGTACGAGCTTGAGTCAAACAGGTCGGCCCACCAAGAGCCACTCAGCGGGTCCCCACACCGACATGGCTGATGGTCTCCTGAGCACGGGAGCCCTGGGAGGGAGATGTCCGGGAGGTCAGGGCACACCCTTCCCGCCGCCCTCATTCTCAGGCCCCTGACCTCCAGGCCAGGGCTAGCTCACCAGCACCATCCCGGAGTCTGAGTCCCCAAATAACCCTGCAAGGTTCCCCCAACACAGAGAGAAGGCAGAGACACACGGCCGTCAGGCACATGGTGCACACGTCCCCGCTGCCTGACCCGAGTGCTTTCCGCAGGCGTCTCCCACTGCTCGGCTCACGCTCAGGCTAGAAGGTCCACGGAAGGACGGCGAGGCTGGGATTCTGCACGTGACCCTAAGTGCCCTTCTGAATTTGCAAAGAAAAGTAAAGAAGTGCCATCATGTTCTCAGGCATGGCTAGGCGACCGTTCAGTCACACGGTCACTAAGGAGCGCTGTGGGCACAGGCCAATGTGTCCAAGGTGGGCTTCACCCTGACAGTGCCAACACCTGAGGTTTACCAGTAAAAACCTTTGAAACAGTACAAATGACAGCAGAGATACAAATTAACCAGTGTCCTGGGAAACTGTTTCAAGTGTCAAACCAGAACTGAACCATCGACTCCAAGGGTTTCCATGTCTCCTAATATCTAAGTCGTGTTCAAACACCAGCTTCCTTTCAGGCTCAATAAGCTAAAAACCGCCCTGAGGTGCACCAAGCTCAGGGTCAAGCCTTGCATTTCACAGCTAGTGCTCAACACTCTCGAGTCAGCCTCCCCGCGGGAAGCCGGCGGCGACCAGGAGACAGCCCGCACCCCCAGTCCTCTGCTGAGGGACAGCAGGTCCTCACAGTCCAGGGCTCTTTCTATAAGTAAAACCTCGCTGAACAGTCATGATTTTAAAGTACTGCTGACATTCAACAGAACACCTGCCTACCAAAGACTTCCTCCGCTTCACTTCTAACTCCACTGGTGTGTCCGTGAGTCACTGTCGTGGGGTCGATTTCAACACGCTCAGGTCAGCGGCCGCAGGTGAACTGAGCACCCAGGACAACACCAGACACCCTCCCCTACGTTTTCCTCACGTGTATTCCTCACAGCAGAGACCCGAGATGGGAGCAGGTGACTTTCCCTCCCCCAGTTAGAGGCGAGGGGGCCAGAACTCAACAGCCCCAGCCTGTGCTCTCCCCTCTGATCCCAGGAAGATTCTTAACCTCTCAACGGAACGTCAGTCACCTCAAGGTTTATCGCCACCCTTTCGTGCAAAGACATAAACCCTCCCAGGAAAAGACGAACTCTGGCTTCTCACGGGAACACCAAAGCAGTGATTTTTCAAGAGACAGCGACTTCCCTGTTTGAAGATAGTATGAAAGTACATAAAATGTCTCAAAACTTTCCCCACACACACACAAAGTGTAAGTACACATCCCATCTGAGACTCTGGCTGGCACTTCCCAGGGGCACGGAGGGTAAGAGCATCTGGGACGAAAGCCAAGTGGCACTTCTTAAACTGAAGCAACCCCACGTCAGTGTCAGACAGCGAGGGAGCCCGACGCGCAGGTGAGGGGCGGAAGGTGCCTGCCCTCCACGGTCACCAGCCGGCCCCCTGCGGCAAGTGTGCTGGGAGCCGAAGGACCCAACGGCACCCTGTTCCTTCCCACTGTGGGACCCCTCGCCGTCCCTGCTCCTCCAGCTCCCTCTACACACCGTGAGCAGCAAGGACTTTGACACTGGCCACGACAAGGGGCTTCGGCTATATCTGGGTAGCCCGGTGGAGAATTAGTTTATTAGAAGAAATAAAATGGGTTTATAAACATTTGTACTCATGAAAAGAAAAAAAAGTGAGCCCGGCCAGTGTGGCTCACTGGTTGAGCGTTGACCCCTGCACCAAGAGGTCACCAGTTCGATTCCCGGTCAGGGCACATGCCCAGGTTGTGAGCCAAATCCCCAGTGGGGGGCATGCAGGAGGCGGCCAATTGATGTTCTCTTTCATCAATGTGTCTATCTCGCTCTCCCTCTCCCTTCCTCTCTATCTAAAATAAATAAAGTAAAAATAAAAAAAATAAACATTAAAAAAGAAAAAAAGTGAAAACCTATTATCCATGCAGCAAGAAAAAAAGTTCTAACACACTGTAACCAGCACAATTAGAATATTCTAAAGAAAAATGTTTAGGGGACACTGTAAACGAAAATGTGGGTTTTCAAAGGCAGTATAGAGAAGTATTTAACAGTGTGAACTCCAAAGGGTTCTGGGTTTGATTCCAGTCAAAGGGCACATACCTGGGTTGCGGTTTGGTCTCCGGCCCCTGTTGGGGTCGTGAGGGAGGCAACCAACCGATGTGTCTTTCTCACATCGATGTTTCTCTCTCTCTCTCCCTATCTCCTTCCTTTCACTCTGTCTAAAAATCAGTGGAGAGCCCTGGCCAGCTTGGCTCAGCAGTTAGAGCATCAGCCTGCAGTCCAGAGAGACCAAGGTTCAGTTCCCGCTAAGGGCATGTACCTGGGATGCAGTTTGTCCCCGGCCCTGATCCAACCAGGGCCGTGTGGGAGGCAGCCACTCGATGTGTCCCTTTCACGTCAATGTTTCTCTCTCTCTCGCTCTTTGTCTCTCTCCCTCCCACTCTATCTGAACAAAAATTGGAAAAATGTCCTCGAGTGAGGATTAAAAAAAAAAAAAAAAAAAATCAATGGATAAAAATCCTCGGGTGAGCATTAACAACAAGAGTGTGAACTCCAGAGCCAGAACGCCTCCTGGCTCCATAACTCACTGCTGTGTGACGTAGAGTAAATTACGCAGCCTCTCTGTTCCTCAGCTTCTACATACGTGAACCGAGGATCATGTTAGCACTGGTTTTGCAGGTTGTTGTGAAGACCACACGGATGAACCCACTGCTAACAGGAAGGCAGGGGAAGCAAACAGGAAAGGTGATTCTGCTAAGGAGATCCACCCACTTACTCATCACTCATCTTCACGTTTTAAATGACAACACCAATGCCCGCACAGCCTGCAAGGAGGAAGTGCAGCCGACCAGGTTCCTACCCTCAGCAAGGGAAAAGGGAACTGGGGTTGGGAGCACCGGCCCGGGCCAGAGACTGCTGGAGACAATGGTTTCATCTGCTCCTCCGAGCAGCCCTGCCTGGTGCGGCTGCCTGTCACAGAGGAAGGAACGGAGGCCAGGAGAGCAGGGCCCAGCACAGTCAGGAAGGACCTCTGCTTTCCCGCTGTGTCCTCTGGTCATCTCCAAGGGGACACAGAGAATGAGACCTGCTTCCAGATGTCCCAGAAAAGGGACTAAGGCAAGAGCTGCTGGCTACTGGTCCAGAGCTTGTCCTAGACAGACCTTACAGGATAAAAACCCAAAATACCCTGAGCACAGCTTCCCGGGAGGTGATCCCCACACCTGGGAGCACCCTGAACGACGCAACCACCTAGCTTCTTGTCCCGGTAAACCCAGCCGTCTTGATCTGGGCTCACAAACGTGTAAAGAGCGAAAGTCCCAGGCTCCTGGTGACCCCAACTCCACTGGGGAGAAGGGAGCCTTTTAAAACCTGATGACATATCTGATTTAGCGAACGGGTGACTCAGGAAAGAGCTGTCCACCGGACGCGTGGTCTGCTGAGGTCGACAAATTAAAAACAAAGCGAAGCCGGGAGCGGGCCGGACAGCAAACCTTCCGGGGGAGCCGGCGCGGCAGGTGGTCGTCCCGGGAGGGAGTGGGGGCGCCGACGTCCAGCGCAGGCTCCCGAGTCAGCCGGGCCGCCGGCGAGCCCGCCGTCCTGCGCCCCGGCCTCCGATTCGCCCCGAACCCGACTTCCGGCCGCGCTGCAGGTCCAGCTGGGGCCGCAGTTGCCCGGCGACGCGGGGTCTCGGCGGTCGCCCGGGACCCAGGCCCGCCGCCCCGCTGCCAACTTTCCTCCCAAGTTTCCTCGGGGCCGGGACTCTTGGGCCGGGGCCGGGGCCGGGGGCCGGGGGGCGGGTCGCGTCAGGGCCTGGTCGCCGGGTGGTGGGCGCGGAGCTCCGGCTCCCCGGGCCCGGCCCGGCCTCCCTGCCGCTCGCCCGTGGCCCAGGCCTGCCCGCCCGCCCGAGGCCGGGAGCCGTTCCCGGAGACGCGGGGTCCGGGCTGGGGTCACTCACCTGGACCGCGGTTCGTCCAGCGGCCGTCTAATCTCGCTGCCCGCCCCGCCCCCGCCCCTCAGGCCCGCGACCCACTGACACCAAGGCGGAAGTGCGGCCGGCCGCCCCGCCGACTGACAGCCCGCGCCAGCCACTCGAGGCGCCCCGCGCCGCCGCATAAATCGCCGTCCGCCCAATCAACGTTCGACCCGAACGCCACGCCGGGAGGCGGGACTATGCTAATCACGGCAGCGAAGCAACACCATTCTTCGCGACCCAGAGGTCCCGCCCGTGCGGAGGAGTGACGACGCAGAAAACCAATCATAGTATGGAGGGGCGGGGTTATGCAAATATTAACCCCAAGTGGGTGGGCTAGAGGTAGGAAGGGGCGAGGCTTGGAGAGCTGAGTTTACAAACACCGAGTCAGGTGACTGGAGCGCGGACGCTCCGCGGGCAAGTGGCCCTGTGCCCAAGGCTTGCGGTCCCCGAGGGCGGGTGGAGGCAGACGGAGGCAGAAGTCATCCTCCCAAAGCTGCCCCCCTCAGCTCAAGCATCTTGCAGGGCTCCTCACCGCCCAGACTCCTTGGCATGCCCTTCACCGCTCACCGAAACCCTGCGCCTATTTACCCTCTGGCTGCATTCCTGACAATTCACTCCCCTGTTTAAAACCTTTGGGGATTCCCACGGACCTGCAGCGGCCCGGTGGTTAAGCCCAGAAACTCTAGGGTTGGACCCCGAGCTTGCATCCTTACTAGCTGTGTGGCCTTGGGCCTATGAGCCCCAAGAGTTTCCTTTGCATACCAAGTGTCTCCCACCCGCATCTCATTTGGGTCTTGAATCTGGATTGGGGTGGGTGGAGTAACATGAACCAGGCAGCTCAGGGGTGAGCAGGTGACCCTGTGCTGGCCAAGGGGGTCAGAGAGCTCAGGCCAGAGGGATGGCTGGGGTCAAGTGATTCTCCCACCTGCTCACAGACCTCCCCAGAGCTGAGGGAGGTGACAGTAAGTGTGAGGCTACGGAGGCATCTTGTCACCATGAATAAAGGGGGCCCCTGGGAATGAAGCCACCCCAGAGGAAAGCAAATACCCCAAGTTGCCTGGGACCAGCTATACCTTAAGCAAGCTCTATTCTAGACTCTCCGTTATCTGGCTGGCAACCTGTTTCTTTCTGCTTGAGCCAGTGAGGTGGGTCCACAGAGCACTGCGGGTCCCCACGATCACCGAGCATGTCCTGCCACAAAGCCAGCCCCAGCTGGGCCTCTGCACTCCGTCCTCCACTGACACACAGCCCCCAGCAGAACGAAGGTGCCCAGAGGTCAGGAGCAGGCCTTGGCTTCGGACGCTGGTGCCCCCTGTAAACAGCAGGGCATAAGTAAGTGGACAGGGCCTCTGCGGCAGGGGTGGGGATCAGGTTGCATTTCTGCGACCAGAACGCCAGCCATACCCGATCCCCAGGCTGGGCCAGCTCTCTGGTGGGTCTGCTGTCAGCGGGTGCTGGCAACGTATGGGGACTGAAAAGGATCTTTCCCAGCCTCTGCTGGGGAGGGAAACCAGAGGGAGGCGGGGCTAGGTCTCAGAAACAAAGGTGTTGCCATGGTTACCCCTGGAGAAACCAACTCCAGCAGGAGAGGGAAGGGTGTGGAGTGCGTGCAGGCCCCCAAACCTGGACACTGATGAGGCTGGTTGCCACGGAGATGCTTGCAGCTTCCTTTGTGGGCCTGGCCCAAGTCCCTGCGCAGTCCTGGAAACCCACCACCCTCCATGACCCTCGCTAGTCCCTAAGACTCTGACCCCCATGCAAAGGACAGGCCCCAAAGAGGCTCAACCTACCAGCCCAATTCTTGGCCGTGAACTTGAGAGTGAGAGAGCCAGGCCAGAGAAGAAGCTGGGGTCCAGTGAGCCTCAGGTCTGCCTGTAGACCACCCCATGTTACCCCCTTTAAACAGAAACAGTAGCCCAGCTGGTGTGGCTCAGTGGCTGAGCATCAACCCCTGCACTAAGAGGTCACTGGTTCGATTCCCAGTCAGGGCACATGCCCCAGGGTGTGGGCCCAATCAGTGGGGAGCATGCAGGAGGCGGCCAATCAATGTTCTCTCTCATGGATGTTTCTGTCTCTCTCTCCCTCTCCTTCCTCTCTCTCTAAAATCAATAAAAAGAAAATTAAAAATAAGCAAATATATAAAAGCAAAAATAAATACATAAATAAACAGAAACAATAAGCTCAGCTCCCAGCTGCTGCTGCCTCCTCCTCGCCCTGAGGCCATGATTGGGTGGGAGCCCTCTTTCAATTGGGAGCTGGAAGGATAGTGCCTTGGGGCCAACTCTGGATCATTTTCATGATCTTTGCTGGGTGAAGAGGCTAACTCCAGAGTCAGAATTCTCCAGGAATGGGATAAAGGACTGGAACAGAAAAGGAGATTGTTTTGGGTCATGCAGTAGGGTCAGGACAACACTGACAGCTGACATTATCCAGCGCCTGTGATTTTTTTTTTAATCCTCACCAGAGGACATTTTTGCATTTCTCTTCAGATAGAGGGGGAGGGGGAGAGAGAAAGGGAAACATCGATGTGAGAGAGACACACAGACTGGTTGCCAAACACATGATCCCAGCTGGAGCCAGGGACAAACTGCAACCGAGGTATGTGCCCTTAGTGGGAACTGAACCCGGGACTCTGGTCCATGGGCCGACACTCTAACCGCTGAGCCAAACCAGCCAGGGCCAGCGTCTGTGATTTATAGGCTGCATCAAGTTTCACATTTGCAACAGTCGACGAGTAGACACTGTCACTGTGCCCACATCCCAGATGAGCAGGCTGGGCCTCAGGCAGGCGAGAGGCAGACCTGGCCTGCCATGAGGAAGTGGTTCCCCCACATCCTGGACCAGGATCCATACTTGAGCAAGATGCCCAGGTGCTCCTGAGTGGCTGGGACCTCAGGGGGCTGGTGGGCCAGGTGCTCCATGGTAGGGAATCGTCACTGTGTCCCCCTCCATCTTGAGCACTTGGGCCTGGCTCTGGCCCCAGAGTCTTCTCTGAACCCCAGGACATCATCCAGGTGTGGTCCTCAGAGTTTGAGACATGCTGATCCAATAGATCATTTTGGGGTGACTGCTCCCAGACCAGGCCAACCCCGAAAGTGAATCCCACGGTCGTGTCTCTGTGACTCCCCAGGCAGGGATGCTCAGAGCCTCCCTATCCAACTCCTTCTGGATCAGGATCAGTAGCTAACACAGCCCACGACCCCTGGAAGGTGGCCTTGCCTCCCTCATCGGCCAGCGGACCCTGTGGGCATGAAGCCTGGCGTGCTGGGCCAGAGGTCCCAGCTGCGTGGGACACATGCCCTGGTTTTGCCCCAGGAAGCACAGTCATGGACAGGGTCCTCAAGGGGACTGAACAGAGGCAACTGCCCCCCACTTCAGATGGGGAAACTGAGGCTCAGAGAGTGGAGCAGCCTGCCCAGGGCCACACAGCAGAGCAGGTCAGCGGTGCCAGCCCTGCCCACAGCCCACTGACTCCACTCTGACCTCCCCAGCAGGTCTCTGGGCCTGGGCTGATCTCTTATCTCTGTCTGTGACCAGAGCTGCCTCATGAGCTCCCACAGGGCTGGGCAGTCAAGAATGCTGGGGCCCAGCATTGCTGACCAGCTTTGCCCTGGGGAGCCTGGCCTGAGGCCTGCCCCTCTCCCTGCCGCCCCCACCCCCTCCCTCTGTGGCTCGCTGGGGGATCCTTTTCCTGGATGCAGCCCAGGCGGCCACGAGGTGGTGGCCACTGTGGCTTGGTGCTGGCCCTCACGTGGCCCAAACTGTTCCTTCCCACGCAACTTTGCAACGTGCTCCGCGCCCTGCCGTCAGAAGAGAGTATTTTTAGTGTTGACCCACCACCTGAAGAGAGACAAGTTATCAGTAGCAGCCTCAAAGGGCATTTTCATTTATTCTCCCATGGCTTTGGGACCTGAGCAATCTGGGCCGGTTAAATTCTGCAGCTTTTTACCTCTTAACTTCCTCAGGCTGCAGCCTGGCCTCCAGGAGACCAACCTGGCCAGGAAGGAGCAGGCAGGAGTCAGGACCCACAGGAGCAGAGAGAGGGTGGGGCAGAGGCCACGCCCAGAGTAAGCAGGAGTGAGGGGCGGAGCTTCCTTGACCACTTCCAGCTCCTGCAGTAAGTAGCCTGAGCACTTACTGAGCGCTTTCTGTGTGCCCGTTTTCTGTGTGCCCACTTTCTTTTTTATCCTCACCTGAGGACACCTTTCCATTTTTGGTTCAGATAGAGTGGGAGGGAGAGAGACAAAGAGAGAGAGAAACATTGACGTGAAAGGGACACATCGAGTGGCTGCCACCCGCACGACCCAACTAGGGCCAGGGACAAACCGCAACTGAGGTACGCGCCCCTAGCAGGAACCGAACCCTGGTCTCTCTGGACCGCACGCTGATGCTCCAACTGCTGAGGCAAACCAGCCAGGGCTGTGTGCCCACTTCCTGCGTGCCCACACCAGCTGCACACCTCCCAGTGCATTGCCCCAGTGAAATGCTGCGGTCACTCTGAGGTTTCCCAAACCAGATGCCATGCAACCCCAAGGCCTTTCTGGCTGTTATTAGGTGTTGCTGGAAGAAAAGGGTCCATGGTCAAGTGGGTCTGGGAAAGCTGTTTAAACAAAGCCAATTAGTGTCCCCCTTCAGAGCAGGGCTTCCCAGGACCCTGCACACTCTGGTGTATGTGGGAGCCTCTCGGATTCAGAAGGGCCTGCTGGAGACTCAGGATTTATTAAAACTGGGAACTTTTCTATGGAATGTATTGTAGGAGGCTGGAATGGCCATCCGTCTTGCTGTGGGGACATTTGGGCCAACTTGGCTGCCTGTCCTTTAGAATTAGTTAGAACTACGGGGCAGAGAGGATCATCTGGGACCATCTGGGACCCAGTTCCTACATTATTGTGTCACACTTCTAGCGCTGGCTTCCATTCTCATTGTCACCTCATGGCCCAATATGGCTGCTTGTGCTCCAGCCATCACATGTACATTCGACCAGGAAGAAGAAGGGAGGGAAAGAACAAGGACAGAGGTGCTGCCCCACCAGGTGAGTT